AAAAAAAAAAAAAAAAAGACTTTGAGGTTGCTGTGAGCTGTGACATCACGGCACTCTACCTGGGGTGACAGCTTGAGACTGTCTCAAAAAAAATAAAAAAGAAATCTCTAAAATTCTTCCCACTGAGTCCTAATTTTGCTTCTGGATCCACACATGGCTAAATCTAGTCTCTCTGCCAAGGGTGCTGAGATTTGAAACTTGGTGTCAGCCTTTATTAACCACTTGACCCAGTGTGCTTCAGTTTCCTCATCTGGCACACGGAGGTAACAACAGTTCCTCCCTGTGGAATTGTTGTGGGAGGGAATCAAACAATAGAATGTCCACTCAGTGTGAGCCATGGCAATTAGCCCATAGTAAGTGCTCAATGATTGGCAGATGTTATTTTCACCTGAACATCATCCTTCCCAGCATGCCTGTACCCACTCTCTGTGCAAATCTCTGGAATTGCACTCAGTTCCAGGTCCACTCTACCCAGGGTTACAGCTTGAGACTCTGTCTCAAAAAAAAAAAAAAAAGAAATCCCTAAAATTCTTCCAGTTTGACCTGGAACTGAGCACAATTTCTAGATTTGACCTTTATCTTCCCTCAGGCCCAAATCTTCCTTATTCTCGACATTCTGCTCTTGCTAATGCAGTTGGAATTAGCACTCAGTTCACTGGTCCTGCTGGCTCCTGAGACCTTAAAGCTGACCTGAAACCACCTGGTCTTCTCCACTGAACAACTGCAGCATTCCTTGCCTGGACCCACTTTTATGTTGGAGTCCTTGGCTTGTTAAATCAAAATCCAAACTGTCCATTCATCCAGGTGACATTTCTTCTTTTGTAGTCTGGATCTGTCCTGGAATTTAGAGGCTCCAGCTCTTGCCTTGGACATGGAGGTGATGGGAAAATAAAGATGGGGGATGAGGGTAGCAGAGAGCAGGGTCTCCACTACGGTGGATCATGACAATTTGATTTTGGTGTCTGGGGCACTCAGCCTAGTGCTTCTGGAAGCTTCATTCTGTATGCTCGTGGTTGGTAGAAAGCCTCCCTTCCTGAGAACTGTGGTGTCCTCTCAGCTATCTGTTTTGCTCACCAGGTGGATCCCTCTCTGAGCCTCTTTGGACCCCAGTTTCTCTGGAGATGGTCATTCCTTACAGAGCTGCCTGTGGAGAGGAGCTGAGAGGTCAGGTGAGTGAGAGCATCACTGTGCTCCATGTGTAGTTTGCCATCACTCTTTCTTTCTCTTTTTTTCTTTCTTTCCCTCTCTTCCTCTTTCCCTCCCTTCCTCCCTTCCTCCCTTCCTTCCTTCTCTTTAGA